TGATGAATCATTAGAGGTTCTCAATTTTGGGAACTTGGAGAAACCTTTTCATCCACCCAAATCCATGGATCTAAGATGCAAGGAATGAAGGCCCTCTCTTTGGGTGATTAGCCTTTGCTTATGCAAAGAGGAATCTACAAAGGTATTGATTTCTCAACTCACTTTGTTTTGAGTTGAGTCTTGGTTCACCTATCTACTAGGCTTTGAATTTCATGGGTAAATGTTTTGTTTTTAAGTGCATACAAGCATGATTCCGCCTTTAATTGTTAATTGCATGCTATTGATGTTGCTTAAATGAACATGTTTTTCACAAATCTTCCTTCGCCATCTAGGGAGAGAATTGTGCAGAAATTACTAATTAGCCTTCCAAAAACATAGGATGCAATTTGTTTTGTGATTGAGCATTCTAAAGATCTCAAAACTCTTAAGGTCCAAGAAGTTGTTGCTCCACTCAAGGGATTTGAGCAGAGGCTTGATTTACATGATGAAACCTCCACTGAGAGAGCATTTGCAAGCTTAAATGTTGCAACTAAGGGTTCTAAAAGTGGTGGATTCTCTAGAAATCAAAAATTTCAAAAGCCTAAAAGTGGTGAAGCCAAGAAGGAAAGGTTAGGATCACAAGCCTAACTTTGTCCGCTGACAAAACAATGCTCAGAGAAATTGGGATCACATGCCTAATTATACTCAGAAGCAAAATAGCACTCAGGGAGATTGCAAATGGTGTAACAGGTTTCAATATGGGAAGTGTTGGTATGAAGGTAAACCAAAATGCATAGGTTGTGGCAAACCAAGTTGTGCTGTGAAAGATTGTCATGAGAATAAAGCAGTGCAAAAGGTTAATTATGCAAGGAAAATGAGAGAAACAGAATCTTTATTCTATGCTTGCAATGCAGTGATTGATGTGAAAGTAAACAATTCTTGGTATATTAACAGTGTAGTAACCACATGACAAGTGATGAGAGGTTGTTAGTCAATATCCAAAGAAATTCGACTTCTAAAGTGAAGATGGGGACTGGAGAAATTGTTCAGGTAGCTGGAAAGGGAACTCTGGTAATAGAGACCAAATTGGGAAGAAAACACTTACAAGAAATGATGCTTGTTCCTGGACTTGAAGAGAATCTTCTCAGTGTTGGACAGATGATTGAGCATGGCTATTACATAGTGTTTAGATGAAATGCAGTGAACATTTTTTATGACTGGTCCTTTAACAATTTGGTAGTTAGAGTGCAGATGACAAGTAACAGGTGTTTTCCTTTGACAATGATGCCTGCAAATCAACTTGCACTAAGGGCAAGGGTTACACATTACTCTCAGATTTGGCATAAAAGGTCAGGGCACTTGAATGAGAAAAGTCTCAAAATGCTTGAAGAACAAGAGATGGTGCATGGATTGCCCCACTTGGAAATGTCCATAAATGTATGTAAGGATTGCATGATGGGAAAACAACATAGGGATTCATTTCCCTTTAAGTTAACTTGGAAAGCCAAGAATCCATTCGAATTAATCCACACAGACATTTGTGGTCCAATGCAAGTTGAATCTCACTCTGGAAATAAGTATTTCTTGTTATTCATAGATGACTGCACTAGAATGACATGGGTGTATTTTCTGAGATATAAGTCTGATGCATTTGAGTATTTTAAGAAGTTCAAGGCAATGACTGAATTACAATGTGGCTATAAGGTGAAGTGTCTAAAAAGTGATAGAGGGGGAGAATTCCTTTCTGCAGAATTTGACAAGTATTGCAGTGAGCTAGGAATTCAAAGACAATTGACTAAGGCTTACACACTATGCAGAAAAATAAGGCTAGATTGGTGGCTAAAAACTATTCACATAACCCTAGAATTGACTACAATGAAACCTTTGCCCCAGTGGCAAGGTTGGCTACCATAAGAACTTTGATTGCACTTGCTACACAGAAGAAATGGAGTTTGTATCAACTGGAAGTGAAGTTCGCATTTCTCAATAGAGTGTTGAAGGAAGAAGTGTATGCTGAGCAACCACAAGGTTTTGTGAAGGAGAATGAGGAGACTAAGGTGTATAAACTAAACAGGCATTGTATGGATTGAAACAGGCACCAAGGGCCTGGTATGATGAGATTGATGCCTATTTCAACAGTGTAGGTTTCAAGAAGAGCTCAAGTGAAGCAACCTTGTATGTTAAAACAAGGGAGGATTCATGTATCATTATTGTCTCCTTATAGGTAAATGATATTGTATACACTGGCAGCAGTCCACAAATGCTTGAAGAATTTAAAAGTGACATAAAAAAGCACCATGAGATGACATATTTGTGTTTGCTACACCATTTTCTTGGAATGGGGGTACTACAAACTGAGAAAAGCATCTTTATACCCCAAAAGAAGTATGCACAGAAGTTAATTGAGAAGTTTGGGTTAAAAGACTGCAAAACTGTGGCTACTCCACTTGCAGTGAATGAAAAATTAAGACAGATTGATGGAAGTGAAGCTGCAAATGAGGGAGAATATAGACAACTTATGGAGAGCTTACTCTATTTAACAGCAACCAGACCTGATATAATGTTTGCAACGAGTTTGTTGGCAAGGTTCATGCATATTCCCACAAGAAACACAGGGGAACAGCAAAGAGGGTACTGAGATACATTCAAGGGACAATTGATTTTGGAGTTAACTTTGAGAAGAGGAAGGCAACTACCCTAATTGGTTGATGTAATAGTGACTAGGTAGGTAGTGAGGATGATATGAGGAGTACTTCAGGGAATGCATTTACACTGGGATTTAGTGTGTTCTCATGGGCATCGATCAAGCAAAGCACAGTGGCACTGTCCACATCAGAAGCAAAATATGTAAGTCCTGCAGAAGCTACTTCTCAAGCAAAATGGCTAAGATTTGTGCTCGAAGATTTTGGAGAGGACCAAGTAGAAGGAACTCAGATTATGTGTGATAATACATCAGCCATTGCTATGGCAAAGAATCCTGTCTTTCGCCAAAAGACAAGACACATTAGCAGAAAATTTCATTTTATCCGAAAAGCAATTCAAGCAAGGAGATTGAATTAGTGTATTGCAAAACTGAGGAGCAAATTGTAGACATCCTTACTAAAGTCTTGCCTAAAGATCGATTTGTTAACCTAAGGGAGCTTCTGGGAGTTAAATCAGCTAAAAGGTTAAAGGGGAGTGTTGATGTGTAACCCATTCAGCAGAAACTTGAAGCCAAAGAAACAATTCAAATGATTTATTTTAATAGTTGTTTTAGTTTAAATCTAGACCATTGGATCATAGTCCATGTGGCAGCTGTTTGTTGTATCTAGCTTAAGCGATAGATTAAGACAAGTGACATCATCTCATAGGGTGATAGCAATTAAGGGTTGAGATTATATTTCAGTTTAATGAGTGAAGGATCTCCCTTCCTCTTCCATGTATAACGGTAACAAACCACTCATGCGTTGTGTGAAGAATTCTAGAAATTAATTTCATCATCATTCTCTGCAATTCTCTATCACTCTCTGGTATTTTTCCAGATTTGTACCAAGTCTCCATCGAGCATATCCAACTCACACATGCACACTAACAGTCTCTGTTGCTTGTGTTGATGTTGTTTCAAGTGGAATCGATTTGACAAGTGGGAGGAATTGACCGAAATAGGATTGTCAAGGAAGGGGCATCAGTTAAGGTTTACAAAGGAAATGTTTAAGAGGGCTGATGGGATTGGTAGTCTGTGTAATCCTTTTCCCATATGGTTTGCAACTATGATGGATTGTTTGCGACACAATTTAACTTCATGGGCAATGTTGCGAGGGTATGAGTTAGTCCAGGTATACAAGCATAGGTTTATCATAGCCATAGAGGCAAGGCAACTATACCTTCCGGAACTGAAAGAAGTTTGATATGGTCACTAGACTTGCTTGTGTGCACCCAAACCATATGAAGAGGCAATGGCGAAGGAAGCTGCAAGAATTCTTAAAAGGTGAAACACCTCTTCCTCTGCTGCTTGCAAGAAAACCAAGGGTGCCTTCGGCCTGTCTTTCCTGATGACTCTGAAGAAATCCCGTTTGGGTGTGGTGTTCGGCCAAGTCTTGAACTTGATGATGTACAATATCTGACTCCGAAAATCCACTTTGGCAAGGTCTAGTAGCTCATACAAGTAACCTCAAAATTTATGAGTAGGTTTTTCAGTGCACTTTGTAACAGAGGCTAAGAGATTGTTATTGACGAAATCTTGTGGAATCCCTCAGGAATGTGTTTTAAAGGCATGATTTTCCTTATGATTGGCACCATCTCGACATTATCATTATCCATGGGCACCTTCTATGTTCACCAACATAGAAGAAAGCGTTAATGAGTTTAAAATCAGAAGTGCACAATTGATACGGGTTTCCGATTTTCGTATGAAAGTGAAGCCTAGGTAGCATTTGAAACATGAAATTATTGTACTCCTTTTTTAGGATATATATACAGTCATCAAGAGCAGGGTATTCATGGCCCTTCTACAGAACCTAAATAGGATTGACAATTTGACATGTTCTCAAATTCTCTAACATAATGTATAACGATTTATGGGTTTGTTTGGTTTGTGGAAGGGGCCTTAAGAAGTTAACTTACTAATAGTAACTATTAATCTTCAGACATATTTTCATTTTGCACACCACAGATTGCTGTTTAAGCTCATGAGATTGATTCTTTTCACTAAGAGGGCAAAGCAAACAAGATAGTTAAGATGAGCACATAAGACAGGGAGATCATTAACAAGTATGAGATAAATCGATAATCTTACATTCATAAGTTTATGATGCCCACATGGCCAACCAAGAAGAATGTAAAGATTGAAAGAAGCCCAGAAAAATGAACTGAACGTTTGCTATTATGCAAGTGCAACTGGGATATAGATGATGACTTACTAACAATTAGCTTGCCTTCTGCCTTTTGTGGATTTGTTTTATGTGGTCAAAGCTACTATTTTCATGTCCACTTGGAGCCACCTCGTCACAATATTCATATGTTCGCTTCAAAATTTTTAGTGCTCATGTGAGCTCTTCCAAATCTTGCTCGTACACCAAATGGGCCCCACACTTCTTCACTACATTTAAGCCTGGTTTGCATTCATAATCATAAAATGTTGTGAATGAAATCTGCTCAGCTTGACATAGTTTGGATGGCAAATAAAATACCCACAGGTGTTCCAACACAAGACTCCCTATTTTACAGCGCTGACTTGTGACATTGGGAAAACAGGGTAAAACTCCAATATGGAATTCATCATATTGGCGAAGAGTATAAGGACAAATAAGGGCAGCTGGATTTGCCAAGTTTTGCTTAGGATCTTCAAAAACAACACAAAACGCAATCCCCAACCAGTTGTTGCATGATGGTGGTGGTAGCTCCACATTTACTGAATGCCCCACACTTTGATTACTGAACCACTCTGGAATTTCACTTCTAGGGCTTACAATCTGTGTGAACTTTTTGTCATAACTTGGATAGGGTCCCTGTAACATACGTATAATGTTTAGAGAGATAGAGACAGATAAATATATATACATATATATAGAGAGAAAGAGAAAGATAGTACCTCGGCAGCAAATTTAAGAATCCTTGAAAGGATTGTATTAATCCAGCCTTCATCTTGAACCAATGTAATGCAATTCACAGAATTGAAAGTAAAATCATACAAATTGGCGAAACAGATGCTCAACTTGGATGGATCACACAACCTTTTTAAGGAAGCACAGTTGTCTACATCTATATGTAATTTGATATTTGATGGAAGATGTGGCAATACTAGAAGGCTTTTGCACCTCTCCAACCTAAGAAATTGAAGCTTAGAAAGGCCTCTAATGCTTTCGGGAAGGCTGACGAAATTGTTTCCCCTGATGTACAATTTTTTTCAAAACGGACAAGCAGCCAATATCATTGGGGATATCTCCCTCACAGAGATTACAATCTCTTAGGTCCAATTCTATCAAAGAGCATAAACCACTTAGAGAAGACAACACCAAACCCCAACAAGGAAGATCAGGACGACTCTTTCCAAATCCTAAAAAGCGAAGAAGGCCCCACCCTTCCCTTGATCTAGCATTCGATTTTGCTCCTTCAACTTCTAGATATTCGAGATTTTTCATACCAACAAGTGGCTCTCTCATAGTGATTCCTAAATAAATTGTCTTTAAGTACTCCATGTCCCCTGGGAATCGGTCAAGTTTTGAGCATTTAGTCATATTGAGACATCTAAGAGACTTTAAATTACAAATCGAACTTGGAAGATTCAAGAGATTTTTGCAACTCCTTAGGTCTAATTCAGTAAGGCCTACCAAATGTTCAATTGATGAAGGTATTGTCTCAATTACAGTCCCACCTACATAAAGTTGGGACAAATTCTTCATCTACTCCCCAAAATCTGGAATCTTTTTCACATTTGAGCAGTAAGAAAGATTGAAGGATTCAAGAGAATCAATTTCTACCTTACTTGGGAGTTTCTTAATGCTTTCGCAGCCATGAAAACACAAAACTTTAAGTCTCTTAAGGACTGCAATAGACGAGTGTATCTCAACTAAATTCTTACAACCTCAAAGATACAACTTCTCAAGATTTAGAATACCACTGAAATCTGGGGTGCTCATCAATTTATAGGAGAAGGTAAGATCAATATATTTCAAGTTGGGCAAATCCTGCACAGCACTGATAAAGTTAGAAAAAATTCTATAAAATAACATTTATTCTATAGTACTATTCTTACCTTTTTTTCCCTCCCAAAGTCGAACGATTTTGCTACTAGGCATCTTAAGCTCAGTAAGAAAACACGGGTGAAAGCTTGTTGGAAGAAATTTGGAAGGATACCAACTCCAATGCATAACTCTCAAGGAACATGGAAGAAACTTGGGGCATGATGAAATGATCAAATTATCGAATTCCAAAAACCTTAGTCCATGCATCTTAGAGAAGGTTTCACAATTCCACTGGCGAACTTCAATTTTGGGCCGGGGCAAGTGTAAGGATATTGCTAAAATTGCTCTCATATCTTTGTACGAATTTGGTAATTTTACAGACATCCTTACCGTATTACTCATGAAAACATGAAAAATGTCATTGGGAAGCCACAACCTACTGCGTAGACCAGGATTTTTAGACTCTTGACCAACAATTGTCCATGCCATTTCCTGTATCAAATCATGCATCCCTATCTTGTTTTCGCAATCCTTGTCTATGAAGGATCTCTCAATTAGCATATATATCATAATACAACTAGAAATTCCAAAAGAACTGTCTAGTATTCGTATTACATCCGTGATGCGCTTCCCTTTGTGGAAACATGCAACATCGAGAAAAATTCTCTTCTCCATCGCCTCTAGTCCTTCATAACTGATTTTGAGTGAATTGAAAACTGTTGGCTTAGTAATTTTATGAAGATTATCCAACTCACTCTTCCATGAATCTTGACCTCTCGTGTACAAAAAAGAACCCAACGTTTTAAGAGCTAATGGAAGGCCTTTGGCAAATTTTAGGAAATGCTCAAAGAGTTCCCAAAAATCTTCCTCGGGTTGTTCTTTTCTAAAGGCATTGAGACTAAAGAGCTTAAGAGCTTCAACATAATTCAATCCCTGCATCTTATATAATGTTGATATACCATGTTAGACTAGCAAACATTCATTCTTAGTTGTAATAATAATTCTGGACTAACAAACGTTCATTCCTAGTTGTAATAATAATTCTACTTCCCATACCAAACCAATCTCGATTTCCATCCAATACTTCTAGTTGGTTTAATTGATCCACATCATCAAGTACAAGAAGAACCTTCTTATTGCACAAGCACTTCTTAGTGAAAATGCTTCCGCACCCTTCATCCCAAATTTCTGCAATCTTTTCCCTTAAGATCGGGAAAAGAAGTTTCTTTTGAAGACCAACTAGAGTATGATCTCTTGCATAAACCTCTCTAACATTGTCAAGAAAACAGTGAACTTCAAAATGATGGAAAAGGTTATCAAAAGTTAGCTTAGCAAGTGTTGTCTTGCCTATCCCACCCATCCCTTTTACCCCAATAAAGCGAACCTCATTTGCATCATAAGCTAATGGCAAACTCAGTTGCTCAAGTGCAGAGTCAGTTCCGACCAACCTCCGCGAGCAATCTGATATCGTGAATGGAGCTTGCATTTTCCTCCAAACACATTTTAGGATGTCTTCAATCAGCTCTCTTTCACACTTGGAAGGAAGAAAAGTAGAACAACCAAACAGGATTATAATCAGCAATCAAGTATGACTTAAATAAGACATGGGGAAGTCGTTCATGCATGCTTACTTAAAGTTCCTCAAATGCCACCCAAAAAGTTTGGACACTAGTTTTAGATCAGCTTTCCACTAGGTCACCTTCGTTTTGTCTTCAGTACTAATGAACTTTTTGTCATGCTCAGGAAAGGCTTCGGTAAAGGACCCCCTTTGATTTCCTACGTCAGAGGGGTTCACATCACAAAAGACTGGGAGAATTGAGTTGGTGGCTTTCATGCATTGAACAATATTTGTAAGTTCGTCCAAACACCATTTGGAAGAAGCATAGTTTGGCGAGAGAACAACGATTGGCGTATGTGATTCTTTAATCTGTTGAGAGAACTTGCCCCACTAACCTGGACAGAAGGAATACTGCACGTGGGTACAATATTCCTTGTCAGCAGACTACCACATGGTTTCAGCTTCTGTGCTCTGATGTGTTGCAGCATGGGCAGCAAGCACGCCACCTTTACAGAAGGAATACTGCACATGGGCAGCAAGCACGCCACCTTTACAACATTTGTTTATTGCATGTAATTGTTTAAATGCATGCGTGTGTGTAAGATGTATATAATACAACCAACTGCCATTACAGCAGTAAATCAATAACACAACCACATATTAAACTTAATATGGTATCAGAGCTCAGGCAATCCTTTGCTCTGCTCTGCCTTCACTTTTCCGCTGCTATACTGTGAACAGCGACATCTGTTACTGCAGCAACCAGTGCACTGCAAGCTGCACACTCGCTGCCTTGCCGTCGCAAAGCTGCTACACAGCCATCGTCGCTGCTCTACCTGTCACAGCCATTGCACACTGCCTGCCGACATGGCAACTGACTCTTCCAGCAAACACACCAAATACGAAGATCCCAGCGATCCTCGTCACACACCCTTTGAATGACGAAAATTACTCCACTTGGAGCCGAGCCATGGCCATGGCCCTCAATGCCAAGAAAAAGGAAGGATTCATCAATGGATCCATTAAAAGGCCCGAGTCTGCATCCACAAGTGAATTCCAACAATGGACTCGTTGTAACAACCTCGTGAAATCCTGGCTGCTCAACTCTGTCTCGAAAGGTATCGGAGCAAGTGTCATCTACAACAATGTTGCAGCTGATATTTGGAATGAGTTGAAGGCACGTTTCTCTCACACAAACAGTGTACATCTCTTCCATATTGAACAAGAGATACATGGAAGTGTTCAAGGAAATTTGAACATTGGTGCATATTATACCAAACTGAAAAGTTTTTGGGATGAACGTGATGCCATGTGCACTCTCCCAACCTGTACATGTGGAGCTGCAAAAGAATTAATGCAGTTTCAGCAAAGTCAGAAAACCATGAAGTTTCTCATGGGCCTCAATGAATCCTACGCTGCGGTTCGTGGGCAACTTTTACTTATGGATCCCCTCCCTGTTGTCAACAAAGCTTTCTCACTTATTATTCAAGATGAGAAGCAAAGAACAGTTTCAATACATGCTCCTGGAAGGTCCTCAGTCACCGATACCGCAGCTTTGGCCATGCGGGATAACATGCGAAACTCTGGTAGGAATTTTTCTCCAAGAAATTCCCATCTAAAATGTGGTCATTGTGATGCAACTGGACACACTTCAGATACCTGTCGTGCACACCTCAAGTGCGACTACTGTAATTGGAGAGGTCACACCATTGATCAATGCCGCAAATTGAAAAAGGCGAAAGACAAAAGCAATAAGGGAGATTATCAGGATCGCAGGGGTTCCAATTCCAAGGCTAATCATGTTGATACCCAGCCAACGCCTCCAGCAACATCTCCTTCGTCCTACAGCCTCACTTCCGAGCAATATCACAATCTGCTTGCACTCCTTGATAAGAGTCAATCCAACTCCATATCTAATCATGTCGGTACCACCTCTACTATGAATAACTTGTCAGGTAGAGTTTTTTGTGCTTCTGCTCTCAATAAGGGAAGGGACTGGATTTTCGATACAGGCGCCACAGACCACATGGTCTGCTCACCAAGCTTAATGACCACAAGTGTTCCCGTATACAATCAACAAGTGCACTTACCCAATCATGCACTTGCCGATGTCACACATATTGGCACAGTTCATCTCTCGAATGATCTCACCCTTCACAACGTGCTTTGTGTTCCATCATTTAAACTGAATTTAATTTCTGTCAGCAAACTCACTAATACCTCATCTTGCTTTGTCATCTTCACTGATAAAATGTGTCTACTTCAGGGCCAACGATCGGGGAAGATGATTGGGACGGGAACTGAACGAGAAGGACTCTACTACCTTGATAATGTGATGAAAACCAGGTGCAATTCAGCGTCAATTGTTGCCTCTTCTTCTTCTCAGCTTTGGCATCAACGCCTTGGCCATCTTTCCAACAAGACCTTACGGCATCTCTCTACTTGCATTAAAAATTTGAATTTTTATAGCATTGATGATTGTTTGATCTGTCCATTAGCCAAACAAACACGTGCTCCTTTTCCTTTGAGTTCTATCACCACAAAGGCTCCTTTTGAGTTAATTCATGTTGACATTTGGGGAGGTTACCATGTTCCCACTATCACAGGGGCACAATATTTCTTAACTATTGTGGATGATTTCTCAAGATGCACATGGGTTTATTTAATGAATCACAAATCAGATGCACGATCTTATCTCATCACTTTCATCCACCTTGTTGAAACACAATTTTCCACACGAGTCAAGGTTCTTCGTAGTGATAACGGTCCATAATTTTTTATGACACAATTTTTTTCAAATAAGGGGATTCTCCATCAAACAAGTTGTGTCTCTACTCCCCAACAAAACGGGGTAGCAGAGCGCAAACACCGCCACTTACTCAATGTTGCTAGAGCCTTACTTTTTCAATCTCATCTTCCTAAGAAATTTTGGGGTGATGCAATCCTCACTGCCACTTATCTCATAAATCGGACTCCCACTCCTCTTCTTCAAGGCAAATCACCCTATGAAATACTTCACCACAAACAACCAGCGTATGCACATTTGCGAGTGTTTGGTTGCTTATGTTTTTCTTCCACCCACCACCATCGTCCCACAAAATTTGATGCAAAAGCCACACGGTGTCTTTTTCTTGGGTATCCATATGGCACAAAGGGATATCGAGTTTACGACCTTCACACGGGTAAAATCTTTATCTCCCGTGATGTTATTTTCCATGAACATGTGTTCCCTTTTTCATCTTCTGCTGCAGTTTCATCACTTGTGTTTCCACATACTCAAGATACTGCCTGTGATGATCCCATCATTCATCTGTCCATTCTACTGGAGCAGGATTCCGTCGATCCATCCTCTTCTTCGCCGGTGAGTCTTGTTTCGGTTTCATCTCCTTTTCTTTCCACCTCACCACCTCGTCTTAAACGACCCACTCATGCACCTGGTTATCTTCAACAATATCACATCGACATCAACCTCCCTTCTCGGTTCGTCCCTTCATCTCACTCGGCGCTGACCAAAGTACCAGGTACTCCTTACCCTTTGTCTGATGTCCTCACATACGATCGTTTATCTGCTCGACATCGTGCTTTCACCACTTCCATTTCAGCTGCCATAGAACCCAGCTCATTCTCACAGGCTATACGCGACCCTCACTGGCGTTTCGCTATGGAAGAAGAACTGGCAGCCCTTGCTACGAATAGGACATGGTCTCTGCAACCATTGCCCCCTGGCAAGAAGCCGGTTGGATGTAAATGGGTTTACAAAATCAAATTTCGATCCGATGGATCCATTGAGAGATATAAAGCACGCTTGGTTGCCAAAGGTTATAGCCAAATTGAAGGCTTAGACTATCGAGAGACCTTTGCTCCGGTTGCAAAATTGACTACAGTTCGTCTACTCCTTGTTGTTGCCTCGGTCCAACAATGGCACCTCCACCAGCTTGATGTTAATAACGCTTTCCTCCATGGTGATCTTGAAGAAGATGTCTACATGTCCTTGCCTCCTGGTTTCGGACGAAAGGGGGAGACACGAGTTTGTAAACTTCATAAATCTTTGTATGGGCTTAAGCAAGCCTCTCGTCAATGGTTTATCAAACTCTCTTGTGCTCTTAGAAAGGCCGGTTATCAACAATCCAAGGCAGATTATTCATTGTTCGTCCGAAACCATGATGGTAAATTCACTACCCTCCTTGTCTATGTTGATGATATTATCTTGGCAGGAAATAACATACAAGAAATTGAAGATACCAAGTCTTTTCTTATGAAGCAATTCAAGTTGAAAGACCTTGGCCAATTAAGATATTTCTTGGGCATTGAAATTGCTCGCTCTAGCAAGGGGATCACCCTCTCACAGCGAAAATATGCCCTTGAAATACTTGAGGATGCAGGTCATCTTGGCGCAAAAGCAGCCACCTCTCCTATGGAGCAAAACTTATCACTCAGAAAGGACGAAGGACAATGGGTTACTGATCCTTCCTCTTATCAACGACTTGTTGGGAGACTAATCTACCTGACAATCACGCGCCCTAATTTGGTGTATGCTGTCCATATTCTTAGTCAATTTATGGAGAAGCCTCGAACTCCACACTTGGAGGCAGCCCAGCGAGTCTTACGATACGTTAAGCACACACCAGGGCAAGGTATTTTTCTTTCTGCAAGAAGTCCAATTCAATTGAATGCTTTTTGTGATGCGGATTGGGCCAGATGTCGAGACACACGATGTTCTACCACCGGATACTGTGTATTTCTTGGAGAATCCTTGATCTCCTGGAAAAGCAAGAAACAAAATACTGTGTCACGTTCTAGTGCAGAGGCGGAGTATCGTTCAATGGCAGCAACTTGTTGTGAAGTCACTTGGTTGAAATCTGTTCTACAAGACTTGGGTATCAAACATAAACGTCCAGTCAAGTTATATTGTGATAATCAAGTGGCAC